ATCCTAAACCCAATTCAGGGGTCGGAGGTAGCAACTATCCTTAAAGAGATCATTATACTCCTGAGATATCCTGGCACATACAGCATGCACTTGGCTACATTGCAATGGCACTATTTATAATTTTACATTAAAATATGCTTTTGATGCGGTAGCTTGGCATTATACCTTGTGTTGTAAACTGATCTCCACATGGCCAATGCACACCCTCAATAGAAATGCAACAGCTAATTTTAAGCTAGCGCAGATACAAATATAATTGCTAAGTCTGCTTTGCAAAAATTGCTTTAAGTTAGCATAATGCCTGTTTGGCTCAGGGGCAGAGCGTCTGTCTCGTAAACAGAAGGTCGTCAGTTCAATTCTGACAATAGGCACTTTTTTTTTACTTTTTTTTTGCTGCGGATATGGGCGGTTTCGATATCTTTGTTTTTGTGTGGAAAAAGTTCTGAATGGCAGTTGGGTGGATCTGCGGGCGTGTATGTAATAACACAAACACCCGGGATCAGCAGTCTACGTTGGAGGCATTGTCTGCAATGCAGCGCCGACTGCGAACAATACGCAAAATCAGGACACTTTCTGCCGCTAAATACAGGCTTTATAGACTACACAAGCTGTTAGGGGAGGAGAATGGCGCTGGCCTGCATATGTTCGTCAAAATACCGATGGGAATAGGAAGGGAGCCAAAGTAGCATTTTGTTTGCTTACATATGAGGACCAGCGAGGATCCCTTTTGTGTAGCACAACAAACCCGGGCGCCGCATTTTGATTATGGCCAGCCCGAAAGGCACGCATTGTATCCACAGCAGAATGCAATGTGGAGGGTGGCGGCTTCGGTATCTATTCAAAAAAGGACTAATTCCAGACACACATGGCTTCAACCTAGCATGCCTAATACAGATAATATAATATGAGGTCTAGAACGTTTTTTTTTCTCGCAGCCCTTGTTCAGGGAGAAGGAGAGGCGTTAAAAAGTTGTGCTTTTCAAATTCTTTCCCTCCCCTTTTTCTCTCTCTGTATCCGACATTTTTTCGCTCCGGTTTGTTATTCTCTTTTGCATTCTTTCTGTCTTTTTTACTTTTCTTTTTCATAAAGGGATTTTTTGGAGGTTTCTTTCTAGCAAACGGGCGGTCCGGATATCTGTATTTTTCTATATTCCAATTAACGAGCCACACATAAGCGAGTATGGGTCTGTTTACATCGTGTTTTGGAGAGGCAGAGGGCTATAAGGGAACGCGTAACGGCCGTCGAGGAGTAACCAAGGCGATGATTGGTGCACCGAGCAACTTTGTGGTAAGCTAGAGGCGATTCTCAGAAGCGACCTTCTTTATCTAATTCTCTTTGCAAGTAGCATACAGGGCACCTTGGTATCGGCGCAGTTCAAAGCGGGGGGCTTCCACCAAGCAAAGATGTAAGTTGACTTTTCTTAAAAATCCGGTTATGGTGATCAGAAGCTAACTGGTTTGGGGGTGTAGCCGCAGAAACTCAAAGCGCTGATGTCACAGGTCAGAGCCGCGCTGGATGAAGAGTCGTTGTTTGGCAGCGCCGACGAAAGGAAGACGCCAGTTGGCGTTGCGTGCTGAAAGCTGCTTTTGGCCGTGTTTCTTGTAGATTAAGGTTTCTTTTTTATATATCTCTGACGAAATATACGTGGCAATGGGCTGCTGCCTCAACTCTTCCTGCGTACAGAAACCAGGGGTCATGTAAGGGGGTTATCCATTTTTTGCAGGAGGGAATGAAAACCTTATGATCTGAATCAGCGGCTCTCATGCACGCCGTGCGCTGGGAAAAAAATGACGGCATACACGAGCTTTAAACTGCGAATGTGGCAAGCGCGATGCTTTGCAGCGTACAATCAGTGTCCTTCTTTGCCGAGGTTTGTCCTTTAAGGGATTTAGGCAGCCTTTCTGCCTTTTTTTCCCCTTGAAGTTTTTTTTTTCTACTCCGAATTAAACAAATTTGTATATGGACTCAGCTGCTAGAACAACGCCTCGTACCGAGTTTCCAACGCATGGGCTGTTGCCCCGAGCAGACACGCAAGCTGCAGAGTTTCTGCGCAAGTATCCCACGTACGATGGCCGTGGAACGGTAGCAGCAGTGCTAGACACGGGAATCGACCCGGGGGCCAAGGGCCTGCAAGTAACCAGCGACGGCAAGCGCAAGATGCTGGATTTTATTGACTGCACAGGGGCAGGTGACGTAGCACTAAGCGAGGCTAAAACCTCGTCGAATTTAGAGCTGCGTGGAGGCAGCGGGCGGCTGCTGCGCCTTAACCCAGGGTGGGAAAACCCGACTGGCAATTGGTATCTGGGCGTGAAGCTGCTGTACGACCTGTTGCCAGGCGATGTCCGGGCAAGTGTGCAGCGGGATCGCACCGAGCAGTTTGAGCGCAAGGCCCAGCAGCTGGCAGACATGGAGGACAGCAGCAAGGACGACCCCGAGGCCAAGGCACGCGTCGAGTCGCTCAAGAAACTGTCGGAAACGTACAAGGACGAGGGTCCCGTTTTGGACTGTGTAGTGTTTCATGACGGAACGCAGTGGCGTGCAGCAATCGACGTAGACGAAAGCGGCGAGCTCTCGCATGCAGCAGCATTGGGGGCGTACAAGAGCACGGGTGACGTGGGCCTGCTGTGCCGCAAGCAGTTGTTTTACTATACGCTCAACTTTTACGACCAAGGCCGCACGCTAAGCATTGTGACTTGTGCGGGAACACATGCAACCCACGTGGCGGGTATCTTGGCTGCGTACCACCCCGACGAGCCCGAAAACAGCGGCGTGGCTCCAGGAGCGCAAGTGCTGTCGCTGATGATTGGTGATCACCGCGTAGGATCGATGGAGACCGGCGTTGGCCTGACTCGTGCCGTCAATGCCATTGTCGAGTATGGCGCTGATGTTGCCAACATGAGCTATGGCGAGCCGTCAGCCACGCCCAACCGCGGCCAGTGGATCCAGACAGTTAGCCGTGAGGTGGTGCAGCGTCACCGCTGCGTGTTTGTGTCGTCGGCAGGCAATGAGGGCCCAGCACTGTCAACGGTTGGCTCTCCAGGAGGCACGACTGACGATGTGATTGGCGTCGGCGCATACGTGTGCTTGGAGCAGATGCAGGCCGAGTACGGCATGTACAAGGAAGTCAACGACGCAGTGTTTACGTGGAGCTCACGTGGACCGACTCCCGACGGCGACCGTGGCGTAAACATCTACGCTCCTGGCAGTGCCATCACCAGCTTCCCGGCATACACGCGCGAGCGACTGCATCTGGCCAACGGCACCAGCATGAGCTCGCCAAATCTGTGCGGGATCGTGGCCTTGCTGATATCTGCTTGGAAGCAGGAGGTTGGCGGCGAGCGCATCAGCCCGTTCCGTGTCCGCAATGCCATTGAGCGCACCGGGAAGGCCATTGGCGAGCTGCATGGTGCCGGACTGGTGCAGACCGAAGATGCATGGCAGTTTATGAAAAAGTACGTAAAGCGCACTTTTGAAGATGTGCGGTACGCCCTTAGCATAGACGACACGGCAATTGCGCGAGGCATCTATTTGCGCGAGCCCGAAGAGTCCGCCAATGTGCGGTTTTTCAAGATCATGGCCGCGCCAGTGTTCCCTACCAGCCCCGAAGCACAGGCAGAGAAGGATCCGCAGGGCGAGCATGGCCAGCAGGAGAACAAGCTAAAGTTTGACTTTGAGCAGCGCGTATTGCTGGTGCCGTCAGCATCATGGGTACAGGTTCCCAATGCCATCTATGTAAGCAGCATTGGCAACACGTTTACAGCCCGTGTAGATCCTACTCAGCTGGAGGCTGGGCGGCTGCATACGGCGGCCATTGACGCGTATGACTCTGAGTGCGTGGACCGCGGGCCCATCTTCAGCGTGCCGATAACTGTCACCAAGCCGCTGAAAGTCGATGACTCGGCAACCGCTGAGCTAGGCACAATCCGGTTCCGGCCAGCAGACATTGCCCGGCACTTTATCGGTGTACCAGCAGGAGCCACTCGTGCTGAGATCGCAGTGGAGGCCGACAACTCAGTGTCGCAAGCAGTGGCTCCCTCTTTAATATATCTGCACTGTCTGCAGTTGGCTCCCGAGTCGCGGTTCCGCAAGCACTGGCTCTTGCAGCGCGTGAATATTGGGCACAAGTCGTTTGGCTCTGGCGGAAACACCACGCCGCAGAGACATCGGACAACGATGCCCGTGGTTGGCGGTGTAACTCTGGAAGTGTGCTTGGCACAGTTCTGGAACCAGGTTGATATGCATGACATCAAGGTCACTGTAAAGTTCAACGGACTGGTGCCCGTGTCGAGCGGCGGAGGCGCATCTGCAGACTCGGGTGTACTGGGACCGGCGATGGTCCTGAATGGCAACAACTTGGTAGCGCGCACTGAGATCATGTCATTGGTGCGGCCCGAGTATGGCATAAAGCCGTCAGCAACTTTGGACCGATTCCAGCGCCCGCTGCGTCCCCACAAGACAACCATCTTCCCTCTGACCTCTGAGCGTGATATCCACTTGCTGACAGGCACTGCTATCCAGTGCTTGGAGCTGGAGTACAAGTTGGAGACCAGCAAGGACAACACATCTGTGCGCTTCTTTATGCCTGCCGTTGATACGCAGATTTACGAATCATGGGCGGACAACTTTGCCTTTAGCGTGTTTGACGCTAACAAGCGACGGGTAGCCACGCAGATCAACTATACGAGCTCGCTGTCACTGCCGCGGCAGGGCGAGTATCTGATTCGTGCGCATATTCGCCACCGCAGTGCCAAGGACCTGGAGGCGCTTAAAGACGCTCCGCTTTTGGTGGAGTTTACCCTGGCATCTCCGATTACGCTGCCTATAGATTACAGTCTGGCATCGGTATTTACTAATACCGTTGGCAACAGCACATATCGTGGTGGATTTTTGCCCAAGGGCGGACGTGCCGCGCTGTTCTTCAATATGACCAAGAAGATGCCTAGCGATGTTGCTCCTGGCGATATATTGCGAGGCTCGCTTACGCTGAACAACGCTACCGCCAAGTTGGGACTAGAGATGATTGTGCCTGCCAAGACCAAATCCGCTAATGAAGCAGCAGCATCTGAGAAGCCACCGGCGCAAGAAGACCAGGACGAATCGCCAGCTGCTCGGGAGCAGCGCGAGCTAGAAAAGGAGCTGCGTAAGGTGCGCTTGAGCTGGGTAAGCAAGGTCAAGGAGGACAGTGTGCGTGACGCTTTGATTACCGAGCTAACGTCAAGCAGCGCAGATGACGAGCAGCGTGCCGAGGCATTGGCAGCACATCTCAAGGCTTTGGACGATGCGCCCTCATCGCTGCCCTGGACAGAAGCAGCGCATTTGGCCGATGGCCGTGCTCAGCGCATTCTGGAAGTTGCCAGTGAGCTGAGCGAGC